ATCTATGAAAAAGTATGAAATTATTTTAAAAATCTTTTGGATGAATTGAATGGCTCGGTGGGGCATTGCTTTCATTTTGAAGAGCATGAGGTTGGATTCATTTGTGAAGTCGTAGTCGTAGTAAAATACTATGTCCTTAGTCCAATGACTTCATGGAAAAAAATATGCTAATAGCCAGCGAAGTTGGCCTAAGTTGACCTCAGAAATATTGCCTTTTTGCTTTATCTAAAAAAATCATTATATATTAAATTTGCTTTTTTTTCCATTTTATATTTTCAATTTATTTATTTGTCTAACTTGAATTTATTACTTAAAAATCGTAATAAATTGAGAGATAATACTTAACACTTTGGTAATTTTCTTCTTTTCTCGGATTAAATTAGCAAATAAATCTGCTTTAAAAAAAAAACAAATTTCCATTCAATTTTTTCTTTTTTTTGAATCGCCTAAAAGTTGTTCCATAAAATTTTTTTCATCATTCAATGGAATTTCTCCAATTGCTTTTTATTTTACAATTAAAAAAATATTTGTCGTCCTTTTAAAAGGAAAATATCTATTTTCATTTTATTTTTTCAAATATTTTTTAAAAAAATTTAAATTTAAATTCAAAATAAATAAAAGATAACAATTTTATGAAAAATTCATAAATAAATAAAAAACTTTAAAAAATTGTAAATTTGAATAAAATTTATAAATGAATAATATAATAAGTTTAAATTTAATAAATAAAATTTTAATAAGTGCTAACCACTTGCTAATCACCTAATAGAAATACAGCTTTACCAGAGATTCACGCAGAAATACGGTTTAGATCTGGTATCACTCGGGATTTTTTAGTAACAGGTTCATTCTTGCTTGAGGCAACAGTCGAAACAAAATGCTTGGAAATACAATTTAAGTTCAAATATAATAAATTCAATGAAATATCTTTATTTTTTTATAATTAAATATTAAATATTATTTAAATATTTTAAAACAAAATTCTCAAAGGAGAATAGAACATCTCAGGCTAAGACTCTCGCCAAGAGTTAAGAGTCTCCGATGATGCTAGCTCTGTACTTCTGCACCACTAAATAAAATTTGCCTAGGGTAAGTTAGGTTAATGAACCTAGAAATGTCGGCGGCTCTCAAAAAATTTTAAAAAATGCATCAAATGTTTAAGTATATATTAAAGTATTTATGGTAATATATTAAATGGAAAGGATTATGTAAAACTTATTATTTCGTATTTACTTTATTCAATCAAGCGCATATTATATTATTATATTGCTTTTCACAAAATTTTCATTATGTTTCGACGATTCATGCTAGTTTAAGAATTTAAAAAATTTGAAGCCTAAACCAGCTTATCTAAATAAAAAGCTTAAAAAACTTATTAATAAATATAATTTTTTAATGTTTGAAATTAAAAATATTAAAAATATTGAAAAAATACAATTTTATGTTGGAAATAAAAGAATAAAATTTTAGCAGATTTTATTAAGGAAAATCCGAGGAAATTTAATTCATCCATGTTTCCAGTCTTCCCAACCTGATCTCTTGATTTTGTTTTTAAAATGAGTATCGCTTCTTTTTTGATATTTCTACCCAGTTTTCTAATGTTCCTAAGGTATAAAATAAACCTTTGCTTGATCATCTACTGTACCCATTGAATAACCACATATTTATTTGATATTTCACCAATTTTGATTAGGCTAGTTTCACTTTAGTACACTGAGATACTTTGTGAGGGGAAAAAAGAGAAATACAAATGGATCGCCAGCACAACCCAAATTTTTTTTTCTCGTATTCCTGCTGGAGATAGCCAGACATTCATCTAAACCCTGAACTCTGAAATCTTTGTGATAATCTAAGTAATAAACCATTCAACTGCTATATTGATATATTCAAAATTTACCTGTTCGCTTCAATTCAGATTTTGATTCAGAACAGATTTTGAAGTTTTTTTCTGTTTTTAACGCTATCTATCCATTTCAAACAGTAAGAATATACGCCCTACAATATGCGACGAAAAATACGGCCTAAATTTTTTACAATCAGTGCAATCTTTGATTAGACTTTTCGAATCAAAAAATCGAAAATCTTTTAGTCATTTTAATAATTTCTTGGGTTTACCCACTTTTTCTTTGAGCAATATTTTTTTAAGCTCATAAATTTCTATATCATCAAATATCTAATCAGAATTTTGTCTCTCCTGATTGATAATTAAGAATGGAACTTTCTGTCAACGTTTAGAATTATTTCCAATAGGCTAGCAAATCTTCATCGACATTACTTTTTACATTGATAATTTTTTCTCTCTCTTTAATCTCATTTTATCAATTTAATTCTAATTTATTTTATTGAATTTTAACCAGTTTTTTTCATGAATTTTTTGTGATTTCTAAAGCGCGAGTTTGAACTGATTTTTTTATCGTCTTTTTGATCATTTTGTATTGAAAAAACATTTTAAAAAACAGTAGTTTAAAGCGAAAAAAGTGGTTAAAATAAGTAGACTGAAATAATGATATAAAAAACTGCAGTTCAAAGCTGGATGAAATAGTAATTAATCAGTAAATATAAACATATGGCCTTTAAGGCTTAAATTAGGGCATTTAAAATACATTTTAATCTGTTTGAATTATTAATTATTAATATGCAAATTGTTAAATGAAAATAAAAAAATGAAAAATTTTGCATAAAATTAATAACTAAACTAAATTTTAACAAATTAAATTTTTATTAAATAAAAATAATTAAATAATTAAATAATTATACTGGAAAATATTTTAGAAATATTTTAGAAATATTGAAAGATATATTTAACATATTTATATATAATATATATATAAATATAATAATAATATAATAATATTTATATATAAATTATATATATTAAATTTATATATAATTTTATAAAAATATATTTTACAATGTATTAATTATAATTTTTTTCTAATTTTATTTACTTTTAATCTTTTTTTTACCATTTCTTTAATAAACTGTGATTTAAAAAAAAGAATTGCTACATGAAATCATCGTCATTATTATTATTAATTGTTATTATTTATTATTATTGTTATTTTATTTCCATTATTATTATTATTATAGAAAACGAAGAAGGAAAGAAAGAAGAAAGGTTTGAGTAAAAAAGTTTCCATCAAAACACAACTATTATTCTCCAAAAAATGAATCACTTTTATCGGAAATGGCGAATTTAAATCATAAAACTAAAATATTGAAAAAATTTAATGATCCATTTTAGATATTTTAGATATGACAATACGTTTACTTCTTCTTATTCTTTTCTCGCCAAATAATAAACCAAAAATGTATCATATCATTCGATGATTTCGTTTCCTTCTAACAGCTCTCATTGGTGGTTAGATTGGTAATTGGTACTGGTTGTGTAAAATATAGAGTGGAATTTTTTATGTTTCCCCCACCAAAATACGAATATATAATGCACATAGTTCTGTTTAGCTTAAGTTCTATCGATTACCTAGTGAGAAGACATTTTCATGCATGTCTCTCCACCGCAATATGAATATAGACAATTTCTGGTTTGGCTGATTCGTTTCATTTGATACTAAAGGTGTGTAAAGGGACATCTTTCCGATCGAAATAGCATATACATATACATATACGTTTGAAATTGTTAGAGCTTGTTTCAATTATAAAAATTATAAATCATTCATGATGATTTTATGATCAAGATACAACATTTTTATTACTGCGATATGGACGATTGAAAACGAAAACGTCATTGCCTTTGCTGAATAGACAACGAAATATTCTTTAAAAATTTTTTAAACATCAATTCCTTTTTTTGAAAGATATTTTAAATAGTTTGGTGTTTGAAAAATTTTTTTCTATAGAGTCTTCTCGTGTAAAAAAATGCTTTAGCGTCCTTCATTTTTGTTTATGCTAGTTCCATTAGCTGTTAGTATGATTTGAAATTTTTTGCTAGCGAGTCATTTGATGATGGAAATAGCAATGAATATACGAATTATATACGACTTTTTCAATGGCAATTTTAATCCAGCCTAAGAGGCGATTTGAGCTTCTGATGATAGTTCTAAGCACCAACCACCCAGGGAATATATATGAGAGGAAAAAACAGAAGATAGACGTAGTTCAGGAATAAATGATAGCGAAGGAGGAAAATGAATACAGAAGAAAAAAAAGACTTGCGACAGGGTCATTGAAAAACTCAGTAACGAAAGCAGTGAGAACATTTCATTTCAATTCATTTATCGACTGTAAGTAATAATTTAAAAAAACAAAAAGGCCCTGATTTTGTCATTTTTTTTCTGTATGGTGAGAAATTTTTCTGAGCCGGGGGAAATCGGCTATTTGGCGATGGAAATACAAATGAGTCCCACCAGGCGCCACCCGAATTCTTTTTTAAACAGTTGTTAAAAAAAATTTAACAAAACTCGTTTTTTTCAGATATGGCATATATAATAAAATGTAAATCAATTCAATAATTAATTTTTTAATAAAGACTTTGAAATGATCGAAAAATAAATAAAGTTTTTAACTTTTATCGTTTTTAGTGGTTTTTTTTTAAAATTTGAATGGAAAATATAATTTTTTTGCAATTATTCAGAAAATTTTTTCAAATTTATCATTTCTATTCACATTTTTCATTTAAAATTGATTTTATTAATATTATCAGTCGCTAATTCTTTTTTCATAAACTTCATAAACTAAAATATTTTCATAAACTTTTCAAAATTTCACAAATTTTTTTTCTAAAAATCTGCAACTTCTGTTTTAAAATCTCTTTATTTCTAAAAAAAAATCCAGTTTATATGATTAAAAAGAAATTTTCGCCGGAGAGAAAGAAATGAGCTAAATAAAATCTTTTTTTCGAATTTCAGGAACGGTTAATTATTCTTTTTTTAAAATTATTATTAAATTCTTATGTGGGAAAAGTGGAAATTTTAGAAAAATTTCATAAATTACTATGTGATTTCAAAAAATTGCCAAAAAAAGACGAGAGAAAAAGAACTGTTATGAATATAATAAGTCAAAAGAGAACTGGTCGAATACTTTGTAATGGTGATTTACGGCTTATTGAAATTCTACGAGTTAATATCTATCAATTAAGAAATTTACCTATACGATTCACATCAAATAATTCACATTCAATTAATATTATCGCTAAAGTTGATAATCAAGATATTTATCAATCGACATCAACTAGCACTTGCACAATGTAAGTTTTTTTAGCAATGAAATTTTTATGCTTAAATTTGCTTGTTGCAGGAATTAAATATTTTGATCCTATTTTTTTTCCAAAATTTTCTTTCCTTTTTTGACCTTTTTGAAATTAACTTTATATAGGGGAAGTAGATTTTCTTGTCGATTGCGTTATTTTTAGTTACTCTCATAGAGCAGTTAGTTTTATGTTGACACAACGAAAGATCAGTCGACTATAATCCGTAAACAAAATTTTTTGCTTTAGTTGTGAATTATTGGAACAATGCGCATTATTATAATTCGGCGAAAGACGCCAATGCAATAAAGAATCTTTCTGGATATCCTTTGTATTTGAATATCCGAACATTATTGTTAAATCGTTGAGATTTGAGATTTTCATAAGAAAAACTGTAAAAAAATTAGATTGAATTCTTAACGAATTATATTGATCATTGACGAATTATATTAGATTTTTTTAGGTTTTAAGTACACCTGGTACAACCATTTGTTTTTAATTTGTTTACATTTAATTTCAAATTAAAATATCTTAAATATATTTTCAGCTGAAAAAAACGTTTATTATATTATAAATAATATTTAATTTTGTAATTAAATAATTGAAATTATTTTTTATCTTTTAAATTTAAATTAATGACAAAGATGAAATTCAATTAATTTAATATTCAATTAATCTTGTCATGAATAATTAATTGAATAATTTTAAAAAAACCATTATCAAAGCCAAAACCATTAAATTGATTTTTTATTATGCAATTAATATTATAATAAATAACGAATTCCTTATGGATGGGGAAGCGAAGGAGTTATAACTGGTTTCACTCATTCCATTGTCCATTATTTCCGGATTTCACTTTGATGATAGATTCATTGCTCTCGAAAGGCAAGAATTTAGACAAAATTGAAAAATCAGGAAATTGAATTTTTCAAGCTTCTTTCGGAAAAAACAAATTCCAACGAGCCAGTTGTTAACGAGCGATTTCTCGTGCCCTTCTTTTCGTTTTTGTCATTTCAGATGAAATTAAAAGTAAAATATAAAAATCACTTATTAAATAATTATTCTTTTCAAATTAATTAAAGTTAATTAAAATATTTAACTTAACTTATTACATAAATAATTTATTAATTTAAGTTTATCGTCGCATGAAAAAAAAACCAAAAAAAAACGAAAGAATCTCAATTAAAATGCTTCGCGATAAAACTAAAAATGGAATGCAAAGAATTTTCTTCCTTCTTTTTTTCCTTTTCTTTTTAAACAATTAATGCCTTTTAAATAGGAATTTTTACACTAAAACCATTTTTTATTCATCACTTGTTTTTTTTGCTTTAATTTCCCTGCAAAATGAAGGGAAAAAAAGCCAAATAAAAGTTAATTTTATAGATTTTTTTAAATAATTTAATTTTTTTAAAATTGAATTGAATTTCAATTGAATTATTTGGATAGTTTTTGTATAATTTTTTCACAGAGAAATAACAATTTAGTTCTTTCTGGTTATGCATTTTGCTCTTTTTTTCAGCATAAATTCTCATTTTTTGAACATAAAAACCTCAATTTTTTCCTTTTCATTAAATTTAAATAATATGAGACTAAAATAAAAAATAATATAAAACTAAAGTAATATAATAAATAATATAAAATTAAAATAAAAATAATAATAGGAAATAAAAATGAAAATAATTATAATAGAGATTTTGTGAATCGATTAAAGCTTTTGGATAAGCTGTCGCTTTAGATCAGCAGTGGGCAAAAACCATGTTGGAAAGCGCATATGGCCTTCAGTAAGCTTTTTTGCAGCTTTCGTAGAAGAATACTTCTAATCCTCAGTAGAAGAATACTTAGTTACTCATTAGTTATTATTAAGACTTCTCGAAAACGAAAGTGAGGATTATTAAAATTATTAAATCATCTATCTCATCACAATAGAAGAAATTTTTCTGAGGGACTCATATGGCGACAAAAGTACAAATAGTCGTCAGCGACACCAGAATAACTAAGTATTAACAAATTAAATCTTACCGGCGATAGGAAGCAAAATCTTGCACGGCAATTGCGTAAATTTTGCAAAAAAAGTTGCGATTTATGTTCAGTAAATCACTGGAATTTCACCTAAATCATAGTATTTCATACCAAGCCAAGAGTTATACTCACCTATCGTTATCATAAGTTTTCTTTTAAAGTCATAGCGCAAATTATATCGTTTGGTAAATTGTATATGCCATATTTCTTATGAAGAAATTATGGGACAATACGTACAATTGATTCGCGTAATTTTATGAATTTCAATCCAGTGTCCCTATCATAATCGATATTGCAACGAAAGTCATATTGAAAGTCTTAATGTTATTTACAACCAAATAAAATCTTGTATAAAAATAAGTAAAAATCAGAACTTGTTCAATTATTATCGTTCTAACATGGAATTTTAATGCAAATCTATAATCAGCTGAGAGATCAGGTTTTAAAGCGGCGTAAAAAATATTTCTACAACTATGTATAAATATATATATATATACGAATTATTTATGTATTTCAAATTATACTATTCAGATGTGTCACGAAATCGTTTCTATAGATTCAAAATTTAAAAGGTTCAAGATATAAAGTTCAAAATTGTTAAAAATGAACCAAAGCACAGAATTTTACCAAATTCTAAAAAATTACTCGAATTTGAATACCAAACTGGTTAGCAGACGTAAGTTATAAGACAGAGTACTTGTTATATCATCATGTTATTATTATCGTTTATTGTCTAACAACTCGAGAGTTTTAGTATAATTTTAGAAATTCAACAATAGCTGTGGAATTGGACACAATCAATTAACACAAATGAGACACTTTAGCCATCGAATCAAATTCGAATAGAAAAACAGATGGACCAACATATTCCTAAGCCACTCAAACTATTTTTCTATTGATAGGTTTTCCAGTCAAGGCTGAACCATGAGTCGAACCATAATGCCATAATGTTTGATAATCTATTCAATAAATGATAAATTTTATAAATTTTCAATCGGCAGTTACAATTTCAGCGACAGTTTCGGAAGGAATATATAGTAGAAAAATAAAATAAGATAAAATAAATGTGTGATAATTATTATCAGTAGAAAATACTAAATTTTTCATTTAAACTTTTGAGACTTAAATTAAACAATAAATTATTTCTTTTTAAAATTTTAATTGCGAAAAAATAATTTGATATTTTATTTTTTATTTTAAAGAATTATTTTTAAAAGAAAAATGAAAATTTTTTTTTTGCAGATTTAATGTTAACGACGAATTTATTCACGAAATTACGAATAGTTTCTCAAATTTACATTTGATAATATCAGAAAACGGTCGAATTCCGAAGCAAATTGGTCGTGTTAGCATAAAAAAGCGTGATGTTATAAAATATTGCGGTAAAGAACGATGGTTTCATGTAACTAATTCAACAAAACAAAATGATATTTCTGGCCAAATTTGTATTGATATGTTTTATGATCATCAAAAATCATCGATTTCAATAAAGTATAAATTATTTGATTATTTTTCTCCTTTGAAAGCAAATAACTAAGATCAAAAGATTTTTGAAATGGCGCAAAATTGTTTCCCCTAAAATATTTCTCTTTCATAATCTTTGTTTTCCCCAAAGTTCATTAATTAATGCCTAAATCGTAAGTAAAGAATAGAATGGCTCAGCGGATTGCTGCTCAGTTCAGAGCGCCATTTCAGAGCGCTGATGTTCTACTCCCCGTCGAGTAAACATCCAGGAATCCGAATGATGCTGGCGACTGTATTTCTACAGCTCTGGGATTCCTTGGCATATTTTAGTAAAGCGCGCCAAGCCAGAGGAAGAAGTAATGGTGAATGTTCCTAAAAAAAGTCGTGATTTGTTAATTGCCAATAAATGCTGCACCGTATATATGAGTTTCTATTTATTGTGGTAGTCGATATTACCACAATTCTCGTTTGGATCAGATTAAATTCGATAATTACTTCTAAAGTTTTGAATAAAATAATTCATGCGTTGTTGTTGTCATTTCGGAGCGCCAATGCTGGGGTTCTACTCCAGAAAAAAATCTTTCTTCGAAAAAGCTAGGTGCTGTTTCTCTTTCTCTTTTAAGAATTTTTCATTAAGAAATATTGACGGTCAAAGAGTTTTTGTTAATTGATTTTATTTATAGTGTTAAGAAATTAAAACTAAGAATTTTTAAAATATTTAAATAAACAAGTATCATAAAACACTTTTTGATAATTGATTTCTTGTTGATTGGGCTATGTTACTTGTGAAAAGACAAGGCAGATCTTAACAATAAGAAAATGAGAAAATATTTATGATTTTACCTTGAAGAGACCTTGTGGATTCCGAGTCCTCGCGCTAATAATTAGATAGTGTTGAAGATAATCATTATAAAATTTTAATTAACTGTGCTATTTCCTTTAATAATTTCAAAAATTTGAAGATTTTGTACAGTGAAAGCGATATTTCTTCATTAAATATTTCTTTAGAGTAATTGATTATTTGGGTATTAACGTGCGTGATTCGGTTGAACTTTATTTATTAGTAACCGTTCAAGGATGTGGTAAAACTGAATCAAAAAAATTACGGATAACACCCGAAAAGGTTCTCATTTCTTATAATAATAAGTATTATTATTCGGCCAACGAGCCACGTTTCGTCGGACGGCACTAACGTGATAAGTCGTTGTTCAATTTGGATCCTGATGCTGAAATTCCATGGAGAGCAGGAACAAACCTGTCCTTTATTTTTATAGCCGAGTGACCAAATGGCAAAATTGTGTCCACGTAACCTAAGCGCGAATGCTGATTGCTATAGAGAAAAAAAAGTTGTAGCAAATAAATGATTTAAATCATTTTTATTTAACAAATTTGGAAAGATGATTAAGATTTTGTACATAAAATGTCGATTTTTGAGTTAATTCATTCATTGTTAATCAAAATTTTAAAAAAAACATTGATTGAAATTGATTGGTTGGATTTTGCAATATTATTCGCTTGTAATTTTGATTAATTTTGATTGATTGATTGATATTTTTAAAAAATTAGATTTCCCTTACAAGGAAAGAAGGCTAAAGAAGAATAGTCAGATTGTTTGAATTCTACGCTTTATACGAACCAGTTTATTTATGGTGACGCTTTCCTTTTTTATTCATTTCACGACCAGATTTTAAAAGAAAAAATGAGAAAGAGAATTTAGGGTAATGAAGAAACGATACTAATAGAATGCGAAAATTTTATTCGAGATGACGAACAACGACCACAAGTCACGCTGGCATTATGGCATGATGTTTTTGGTGGGTTTAGTAGTTTCTTTCATGGACAAGTTCGAATATTTCTTGATGAGAACACATTAAGGACGAAAGAGGAGCACTCTGGACCACAATGGTAAAATTCTAAACATTGCATAAATTTCCATTTAAAAACAATGAATTTGTTTTCAATATTGTAAAGTCTCAAATATATGTAAAAAAATATAGCAATGATGATGAGGAATCTAAAATTTAACAAAGAGAGAAGAAAACACACCATTCAACGAAAAGTAATTTGTTCTTCTTCTCCTAAAAGACCATTTCTAGTTTGGTTCAGTTGGCTCTACTGGCTCCGCTATTAGATTTCCCGATATATATTCCCGATTTTTTCTCAATATTTCCCTGTAATATCTAGAACTAACTTTTTTTCCATCTAATTTCAATGTTTCGCTAGTTCATATATTCGTCTTCTGACCGTATAATTCTAAATTTACCTATAAAGAAGTCGAAACTATTAAAATGAATTCGTTTGCTTGCGGGTTTTTTATTAAAACGAAATTTAACAGAAATTTTGCCATATTGACTAATAATTTTTTTTAAATATTCGAAATTTCTTAAAACTATTGAAAATTATTTGCAAAAAAAATGGGAAAATGATTTTATAAATGATTTTATAAAAATTTATAAATCATTTATAAATTTATAAATCTATAAATCGGCAATTTGAATCTTTTACAAAAAAAATTTCGCAAAACATTAACAATAATTACGCAATAATAGTAAATGATTTTTGTATTTAAAGATGAAGAAATAATATAAATAATGATAGTAATAATGATAATTTTTATGACTTTTAAAGATGAAGAAACCCATATTTTTTCACTAAAATTATCGTCTCGAAGTCATTTTTAGTGAAATATTACCGGTTTTCTTGCATATATATGAATTTTTAAAATAAATGGATAGAATTTTTTTTAAATTTCATTTTACTACTTCTTTATTCTCGAATATATTTGTTTAACAATTTTTAGTTTTTATCACTTGTATTTTACGAGAAAATGATTAAATTACAATTTTTCATATAATTTCGTAGTAACAATTTTTCGTTGCACAGAAATGCTTGCTAAGTTTTCTTCATAGTGCGTGGTTATTGCTCAATGATTCAGTGTGGCTTCAGTGGTTCATTCTCATTTATGAACCACCTGCTTCTATCACCAATGATGATTTTCAAGGAAAATTTGCTTGCTTCGACAAGCCATTACAGTTTAGCCAGAAACGATGAAAAACTTTTAGAAAAAATCTTTCATAGAATTTTTTTTTTTAAATAGTCCTATATGAAGTTTAAAGTAATTAACCAACTTTTCAGATGTCTGCACATATTAATTCATATTTTTTAAAACTTATTAGAAGATGTTTCATCGTACTTATAAATTAATTTAATTGTACTAAGATCAATCAAATTAGAATATTAATAAAAATAGATTGAAATGAAATTATCATTTATTTTTCGGTCACAGAATTTATTTAATAAGATTAAAAGAATTTTGATTAGTGATGATGATGATGAAACAGTGGAAAGGATCAATCATTTGCATATTCCTTTAAATTAAACCATTACGAGCACCATCGCCACCACCACCACCATCATCATCACCGCTAACATAGCAATCTTATTCATAACGTCCACAAAAATTTCATATTTTGAATCGTTTTAATCATTCGATCCATCCACAGATATCTCAAGAAATCTCATGAAATCAATTTTCCAATTTACTAAAATTACTAAAATTACTACTATTATTACGAAAATTTTCTTCGATCAATCGTTGTTTTTTATTCTGCATTTTCAATAAATTTCAATAACTTTCATTCTGTATTTTTTATATTGTCGTATAATTTTTGCATTCATTTTTTCTTTATTTTCCTAAGTTTTCTTTGTAATTTATCTTTTGATTTTTATATTTTTATATGTTAGTTAGAATAGCTCAATGAGTTGTTGTGCTCATTTCGGAGTGCCGAGTTTCCACTCTTTAATTTAATAAGATAAATTAAAAGTAGTAAACCTGTCTTTCATATGAATAAATTTCTCTCGACTTCTGCATTTTTAATATTAAGTAATTTCTTGACTAGTGTTTAGTCCAATAAACCAGTGAAACCCGATTTGTTAGAAAAAAAATTTTAATATTTTTTTATGTTTGTTTATTTAATATATAGTTTATTCTTTATGTTATTAAAATTCTTCTTATTTCTCTTTGTTTTGAAATAAATATTTTAAATTAAAATTTTACGAAAAATTTAATGAAAAAATTAAAATGTTTTCAATATTTATAGAGCAAATGAAAAAATTGCAGAATTCTTTAAATTATTCATTTTCATTATTTTATTTCTATTTTATTTGAAGAAAAATTAAAATTCAAGTTCTTCGTTTAATTTTTTCTACAGTTCACAATTCTACAGTCTGCATATATTGTAATAAATTTATAAAAAAATTTTGAGGTACTATTTGAAGCCACGAATGTCTGTTGATGAGAACGAAGAATCAACTAGTGAGAATACAGATTCATCACGTCTTGGAGAGATTCGCCTACGGTTATTGTATATGGCTGATCATATACTTCCTCTTCAATTGTATAAACCACTTCAACTTAATTTATTAAAATCTCTTAATATTAATCCGTTTTGTGCTTCACCTGCTGGCCTTCTTGAATATTTGCCTTCGGTTAGTAGTAAATATTGTATAAAAAATTATAATTATAAAATAGAATGGCTTAATGCATTGTTGCTGTCATATAAGCGCAGTTAATGCACTTCTGTTCTTGACAAAAACATTTGTCTTTCAAAAATCCTGGGTACTGCTGGCTACTGTGTCTCTGGTCTATTTCTCTGATTCAATAAACGAGCCTAACCAGAAATTATGAAAATTTTTAAATGATTTTGAAAATTAATATGATGAAGTCGAAATTCATAAGAAAATTTTTAATTTTTCCGGTTTAATTTCAAGGTTTTTAGAGCGAATAAAATTAGTTCCTTTTCTTTCTAAGAACGCTCGCTATTTCTGGTTAAACCGGTTAAATTTCGCTGCCTTGTGCGGTCAGGCAAATTTTGCCATCATGTCCAACGACGATCGAAATATAAATTTCCAAGTAGTGCTAGCGATATATTTGTACCAACAATAAATTTTTCATATTTTTTAATGTTTTCATAAAAATTTTTATTATTAATATTTAATATTTTAAGTTGACGGCCGCAAATCAAAAAATTTAACTTTTTAGTTTATTAAACTATTTATTTATTTATTTTGTTTATTTCGTAATTAATGGGTTATAAACCTCTAAATAAATTTTTCTTTCCTCTTTTTTAAAAAACTTTTTTTTAAGATGATTTTCAAAAAACCTTAATAAAAAATAGTATTGCAGATAGATATTGCAAGTATTGCACGACCATTAATGAAAATATTTTTCAAATCCGATTCCATACGTCCATTATTAAGGATTTTATGTTCGCATGATATTATAAAATGCCAGTTAGATATTTCTTTAAATATAATTTTAATGAAATAAATTATAATAATAATTATAATCATAAATTAATTTTTAAATTAAATTTGAAAAATGAAGATTGAAAACGATGAAAAGTTGGATTTATAAAGATATTTGTAAAGATCAAAGTTCGTCTCAAGAAAATAAAAATAAAATTTCTATTTTATTATTTTTGTTATTTTCGAAAAAAATAATAAAAATTCTTTGAATTCATTAATTTATAGAGATATAAACACATTATTTCGAAGCCAATCGCTAGCAAGCAAAATAATCTATGAACAAATGAAATTTCTTGGACATCATTATCTTCTTATATCTCTTAAACCTGTTATCGACATGGTTCATTTTTTTTTGCTTGTCATTTTTCAAAAAAAAAACTTTATGCAAAAGTTAACAAAGCGCGAATACTGCAGTTCTACTCCTGGCAGAAATCTGTCTTTCAAATCCGAGTGATGTTGGTGATTCACTCTGTATTTCTGTCGTGCTAAGTGATTCCCTGGTAGAATTCTTCTAACGAGCCCAGTGGAATGCTCCTGTAAACGACGAGTACTCTTTAAGAGAGATATAGACCGATTTGCGGCAATCGCTAGGAATTATATTCTTCGCATAGTTTTTTTTGTGACTTATTAAATATTTATAGCGAAATGATTTTAAAAAAAAATGCAATTTAATAAGTTTGGAAAATTATAAAAAACAAAGATATAAAACCAAAAAAATCGAAAAAGAATTTAATATGAATATTTCTGGACGTAATATGAATATTTAAAATTCCATGCAGTAACTTGCGCTAATTTTAAAAGAGATTTAAAAGAGACTTAAAAAACGATTTTGAGGGAAGCGGAAATATTCAAGAAAGGCTTTGATATAATGTGATTTCAGGTATATAATGAACACAAAAATTGTGAAGTGGACCCATCAAAATTAAAATCTGACGATTGCCTGGAATCAAATAAAGTGAATTTACTTTCCTTTCTCTCTCTTCTTTCTCCTTCCTCTTTCCATTCTTCCCTTATTTTATTGCAGCAAACAGCTATGGCATATGAGGATGCCAAAATCAAAAATTACGTATTCAGTGGAAAAAAAATTTTTGGATCGTTTCCTTCCATATTTTTTGAAATATCCCACCGGAGAATTATTTTGGGATTCGGGATTTGGCACCGGCAGATCCTCTACAACTCTCTCCTAACTCATTGAATATTAAGTTTATTAGTTTATTCAATTTTCTTGAATTTACATGCCTAAAAATCATCGAGTAGTGACAAGCCATCTGTTTTATGAGGTTTCAACCTAATAGCCAATAAATTCAATTAGACAAAAAAAATCCATTGCGATAAGTGCTATTATAAGAAGAAACTTAAAATTTTTTTCCAGTGGAATTTGATAACATATGGCGAAATAGCATTCTCACGAATCGTTGATTCATATTATCGATGCCCCGTTTCATTGAGGGAAATGTTTTTTGATTTACGAGAAGTGGTCCTTGTGCATTATCCTGGACGAGAAGATGTGCAACGATTGGCATTAAGTTCATTTATTGTTATGCGATTTTTTGCTGCGGCCATTATGAATCCAAAATTATTTGGTATAAAACGTGAACAACCGGTCAGTTTTTATAAAATGGAGCATCTTTAATAAATGATACAAATTAAAGACTTGATAATTCAAAAAGAATTTATTATTCATTTACATTAATTTTTACCAAAAATCTGTAAATTATATGAAATAAACAAATTGAACAAGTTAATGGTGTAATTAGCAATCACCAGGAATTCATCATTTTTAACAGGTATTGCTCTTGTTAGATAGAGTGGGTTGTTGCTCTCATTTCGGAGTACCATGGTTTTATTCCTGGAGGAACAAAACTTTCCAAACATCCAGGTGGTAATTCATTGGTAGTTTTATCTCCAAATGGCTGTCTAGTAAAATTCAAGTCACCAGAATAAGCTTAACCAGAAATTATCATGAAAAAAGTTGTTATTGCCAGTGGCCAGAACTAAAATTAACACGTGTTATCCTTTCCAAAGCAATAAACTGCTAGTTTTGATAAATTTAGTTTTGAAAAAATAGATTTAGTTTCAATGAATTTATAGGATCCAATAGTAAGTCGTACTCTTGTTTTGGTATCAAAAATTTTACAAAGGTTATCAAATTGCGTCGTTTCATCAGTTTCTCTTTCGGTTAAAGAACCATGGCTGGACTCAGTCTTACAAAGGTTTGAATTAATTCAAATTTATCAGTCATTTTTTTGCGAAATTTTTTTTAGAAAGCTTTTATTAGCGATGGCTTCTCGTTCAAAAAATTAATTAATTGTATCTATTAATAAATTGCATTAGAAATTATGTTAGAAAATTGATGAGTATTAGAAATTTTAATTTCAGGTTTACGGATGAAACGCATCGTTTAGCTATGATGAAATTTTTGGATCGTATTTCCCTAAGCGATTGCGATTTTTCAGTAAGCGGAGAGAATTTATCAATATTACGCGATGGGTATATTTAAATTTAAACTAATCAATTTAATTAATTTAAAATTAACTGATTATTTATTATGTAACTTCAAAGAAATCACCGTTAATCTAATTTAGATAATATATAGATAAATATACATAGATAAATAGATAAATTTATATCAAAAACTATTTCATCCAATTTTTATTTTAATAATTATTCGTTGAATAAAAGTAAATTTTAGTTATTTTATTGAACGAAAAACTCGAGAACGAAAGAAAATTTTAAATAAATTGATTAATCAAAAACGTCGTTACGTTATTTTGACTGAAACGGAAATTTACTGGCAGAATTCGAAGGGTGATTTGTTTAGTATTTTTTAAAATAAATTATTTATTTATTTTAAATTATTTTATTTTAATTTCAATTTTCAATTTTCTAATTTAAAATAGAATAATTTAGTGGGTTGGGGATAGAATGGCTCAGTAGGTTGTTGTTCAATTGGGAGCGCCGATGCTGAGGTTCGATTCCCCGCAGGAGTAAGCCTGTGCAAAAATCCGGGTGTAGCTGGCGATTCGCCTGTGTTTCCAAGGGACTCCCTGGCATATTAACCAATGCGACAAGCCAGTGGAGCGACTTTAACCAGTAATGGTGAGCACTCTTTTTAATTTAGTGGGTTATTGCTCTCAATTTTGGGGAACGCTGTTGACTATTAGCAGGAATAAAGTTTTCAAAAATCCATGTTATGCTACCGACTCAGCTATATTTCTCTCACCAAGTGGTTCCCTGGCAAACTTGGTCTTCTTCGATAAGCGAGCGGAGTGAGCCTAAAATGATAAGAAATGATAAGTGCTCTGAAAAAGTTTTTTTTCCTGGTTATATAAAAAAAAAGGACAATGCAATAATCACAGATTTTTTTTGCAGCTGATGATGAACCTAAAGGACGAATACAGTTACAAGAAGTCAATCTTATTGAACCTGTAAAAGATGAGAAAAATGTTTTTAGAATAAGTTCGCCGAATTGTGAAATACAACTTCAAGCACCAAGTACAGTCGAAATGAACGAGTGGTTAGTTAGTACGCTGCAATTAGAGCTTCTTCTTTTCCTTCTTCAATTAAAATAATTTTTGGTTTAACAGGTTTCACTCCAACTATGAGGTGAAATCATAATTTGAAGATAATGTGGTGCTTTCGAAGTATTGGATCGATTTTTTTCCAGAAATAAGGAACAAATCTATACTATTTGCCTTCTGAAGCAATATGGGATTAAAATTTATAAAGAACTAATTTCAGTAATGATATTTAGGATAGTACAAATACAAAAACAGCGTAAGCGACAATTAATGATAGCGTTACGTGGTAACGAATCAAGCGAATTGCTAGAGATTGATACGGAACGTGAACTTGAAACATTACATATGACACTTTACGAACATGCAGAAACTCTTAAACACTGGAAGAATGCCTTAGAAGGAACTGCAATTCCGGAAGGTCATCCACCTCTACCAAATAATGTTTTAGAACAGGTTTCTTTCACCATTTTAAATTTTAGTTTTACTAGTTTAAATTCAATAAGCAGACTGTCGATATGGTACCATTCGTTGCAAAAAAATGAAATTCCTGTTGGGAAATCCTGCAATTTTTAATTATATATTCTTGATTAAGAACAATTTTTTAACTTCATTTTTAGTTGAATAATAGTTCAAATCCAGAAGAAGCAAAGCAAAAATTTCATACGACAATTCATGATATTCTTCATGGAACCTTATTAATTGAGAAGGCTCACCATGATATTGTTGCCAATTTTATGAATCAGGTCAGTTCATTTTAGTGTATTTTCAGTTAAATTTCTTTAATTTTAAAGTTTATAAATTAGTAATTCCATATTTTAAAATTATACTTGTGATTTACGAAATTCTATTAGTCCATTTAATTTTGAGAAACTTCGTGATTTTCATTATTTGTTGTATGTGCTAAAAATTTCATTGAATTTCATTTCATTGAATTTCAGGTTCGTAATGGTAAAAGTTTACGAGAATTACCTATTGGCGATGATAATTATTTGTTACTGAAATCCAGATTTCAAAGGATACCAACTCAAGTTTCGTAAATTTTATTGCCTTAATCGAATTCAATCGGATGCGCAAAAACTTAAAGCTTATTTAAAGCTTAAAGTATTTCGGTTGTTATAAATGTTATCGTTATGAAAAGAAAGCGAATCGAACGAATGAGTTAGAGCTAACTTATTGCTGTGTTATGAATTTTTTATATACTCGACTTTTTCAATTTCAATGAGTTGGAGCTAACTTATTGTTGTGTCTTTAAATCCTTTATGGAAAGAAAAATTCTTGTTTCGTATTATTTAATTGTTGTTTCTGAATAATATATAAATGACGACGGGTTATAATTTTTTCAATTTTTTTTCATTTTTTTCTCAATTCTTATACCTCTTGTTTATATTTATATTTTTTTGAATATAAGTGTAGGATTTACAACCATAATTTGACAATATCAATAATTACATCTCAGAAATAATTTCTCATTATTTCTGGCTAGGAAAATTCCACTGGTTGTTGGTACTGTTAAAAATTTTTGCAATGAAGATAGTGGCCGCAAAAGTAGAGATGGGTCAAACGCCAAATTGTAAATTTTTTAAAGATTGGTTTATTAACTATCATGGAATCGAGTTAGAAATTAAGTAAAAATAGCATTAAAATTCCATAAATAGCATTAAAATTGCCAAAGTAAGAATGTAATATATATGACTGAACGCATACAAATTTGATGTTTTTATGCGTCATTTCATTATCAAACGTTTTTCCATTATGAATCGACTCGACTGCTTAACTGTACTGCAAAACAATGAATTTACTTTCTTTTTTAAAGTCTTAAATATTTCGAAATTTTGAAAAATTGTGGTTGGATTTGGATCAACTAAAGTTAATGAAAAAAAGAAAATAAATAATTTTTATAATTTATAATTCGATTTAAAATGAGAGAACAATGCATTTTTGCGTATAATTTTTCTTTTCCTTAAGTCTTCTTTTGTAAAATAATAAAATATTATATCATAAATATTATTTTATTATTTAAATAAAAGGAGTATTCCTTCAATTTTTGTAACTAATAACAACAAACAATAAGTAAATGATGGATTGCACCATCTCTATACTCACGTATATTCAAGTAAAATATTCTTGCATATTTTACGATCACTTGTAATAAATCGAATAACCTTCAAATAACCAAAATTGCAACATATTCATGAGATTAATTGCCATAAATCGAACAATACAATTTCATTACTTGAGGCTCAAGTTGAGACAGGAAGCAATTTGTTACAACGCCACCAAACTAACGCATGAGTTTGAACTTCCACTCGAGACCAGTTGATCTAGTAGAGAGGGAAATTAAAGATTAACTTGTAATTGTAAATTTAATTAAAAAACCATTAAATTAAATTGGATTAAATAATTAAATGTGAAAAATTCAAAAATAGAAAAAATGAGAAAAAGATCCAGAAAATGAAAAAAAATTTGCGGAAAAATATTTAGAACTAATAAAAATATTTAAAAATATTTAGGAAAATATTTAAATATTTATAAAATTTTTGCATTAAACAACAAAAAAGAATAAAAAACATCGAAAAATACTGGAAAATGAAATAAAATAGTTTCAAGAAAGCGCATTATTTTCAATAGACAACCGTAATATTTAACAAATTTTATGAAAATTTTATTCAGTTTTTTCTTTCAAAGAGCATTTACCATTGCTAAACTTATTTTTGCTTTGCTGGAACAAATGAATTTTGTTAGAACTTTAAAGTTAACGACGATAGGAGTAAAGATGAGTCGCCAAAATCACCCTAAAATTCAATACGAATAATAAATTAATTAGGCGGTCAGTTACCAATAAAAGGGTTTCAATAGTAAAAGATTCCCATGGTAATAATAAATTAGATGGTCGATCAATCTTCGTTGCCAATAACAACATTAGCAGTGCTATTAGTATTTTAGTTCCAATATTTGAGCTGTTCGATCATTTGACCCATATTTTCCCTTCATTTTTCACAAATATTTTGATTTTTCGCTAAGCCAGGATAATGCTCCTGAAATATTTAAATTTCATTCTTTCATTTTACACGATAAAATGCGATTTTTGTATAAATTCAGCTATATTACATAAAAAAAATTTGTTATCGCTACCGTCTCATGAACCTTTTTGTATCATCAAAAACAATGGTTAGTGGTTTTTGCGAATATTGGGCTGTTTCCTTATCCGAGAAAATTCCATTTCTTGCACAGTTCAATCAATAGCCAAATGCTACTTTTCCTTTCTTATTTGCTGAAAACACGCAGAAACATTTTTGCTCCCACAAAAAATCATAAAAATTTTATTCCAGTTTAGTGAAACTTTTAATAAGAGTGCCCATAACAATGTAAGCATAGAAGAACAACTTTCAGTAAAAATTGATTATGTCTATGAACAAATACCAATTTACGATTTAGGACGATTATTGCATGAAAAAAGACAATCAGCAAAAGTGAGTTGGTACTGAATTGCTTTATTATTTTATTTTACAACTTTGTTTCACTTCGATAAATGAATAAAATTTTATAAATAGAAAGCTTTATTAATAAAGTTTTTTATTTTCGTTTTAGTAGAAATTTTTTTTCGAAATTATCAAACTTCAAAATTTTTATCATCAAAATTTGATTTGAATTGAAAAAAAATTTGATTTTATGAATTTGGAACTTTTGAAAAAAACTAAAAATCAATATTCGGAAAAATTTCTAATGAAATTTCTTATCATTTTATCATCTTTAATTAATTTTTATTTCTCTGTTTTCAGGTTGAAGCTGTTGTAAAAATAATTGAAAATAATCGGGAAGTTCCATTCGAATTTATTACCTCAATATTTTCGACGAAATGCAGTGGCACTTCCTATATACGTGAGCTTTCATTTTTGTATTTTTTTATTTTGTTCCAATTTATTATTTTTTCATTATTTTTATGGAACTATATTCAATTTAAATGATATCTATGAATGATTAAGTAAATGAATTTATTATTCTCGTGAGCAGTTGTGTCATCTTCTTTCCGTCAATAATTCATTATTTCTACTAAATTATATTGTGCTTCCCTAAAAAAATAAGAGAAATACGTTATTCGCCTTATTACATTTATCTAAAAGATATTCTTCTTTAAAAGTATATTGTCTTTATCGTCTTATATCGGATACTTATGAAATAAAAGAGATTTTTTTTTCGTTGTAACACTTATTTGAAATGGCACCGAAAATGATGGCAATTAATATCTACTAATGATGTCGGCTCCTTAACTATGGACGACTTGAGAACACAGTTAGCTTCCATTACTGATAAATATGAAAAGCAACAAGATCTAATTCTGCATTTAACCAGATCTGTTGAAATACTTACACAGATCAGAATGATATTAATGATACTTGATATGATAATTTGAAAGCTTCATCTTTGGATGGCAATTTTGAGCCTCCAACAATCTCGACTGAACAAATATTGGAAACTATCGATGAATATTCGAAAAAAAGGAAAAAGAACCATGTCTAGTTGGAACAAACATTCCGGAGAAACCTATGAATGATGAGACTGCTACTGCCGATAAGCTCTTAGCAAGGAATAATGTAGTTGCCGCTGAAATCCAGATAACTACATTAAGGAAGTTCGTCTACATGGAAGGAAGAGGTCAGACAGGCCACGAGTACTTAAGATTCGACTTGACGATAAGTACATGGCTATGTTTGTTTTGCGTAATAAGAACATACGCTCGATTATTCCCCATGGAAGCTTTTTGCGAAAGGATATAACGAAAAGGGAACTATTGCTAGACAAACAATTGTGAAAAGAATGTTATATGCGAAATCAGAATCTCAATCTGAAGAAGTATATTGTCAGAAATCTTCAAATTAATGGAACTCAAGCAGCTTCGCCAATGGCTTACAATGACGAATAATTTTTCGATTCCAACTTTCTTCCATCAATCTACTACAGCTTAGGACAATTTGCCAAGTAACGTTAATATTATAAATAGGAATTAATCTTTATATATATTTAATGCAAGAAGTTTAAAGTATAAACTCTATGACTTACAAATTTTACTAATTGATAACCCAACTAGTATTTTTTGTATTGATGAAACGTAGTTGGATGACTCTACTGATAATCGGGAATTAAACTTCGATGGTTTTCTAGTATCACAAAGATAGAACAATAAATAGTTTTAATATTCGTGGACGTGAATTCGTGATTTATTACGCTTATTTCCGATTATTATAAATTTTTAACTTTTGATGACCTTGTCTATTCCTCTTTTGAATCTCTAATAACTAAAATTTATCTTAATAATAGAAATATTTTCCTTTTAAATATATACCGCCCACCTGGCTATTGAAATAAATTCACTAGGTATCTTTACAACCTATTATTTAGATTAAAATTATTTGGTGCCGATTATGTGATTGTTGATGATCTTAATATAGATTGGGAAAATAGTTGAAAAATAGCATCAGATTTGAAGAGGGCTTTCTAAACCTCTGTACCTATATAGGTCTAGAGCAACATATTAAAATTGCCACTAGGTATAACACCATTTTAGATGCTGTGTTAGCTACTCCTACTTCTCTTGTTGATAGCATTAAAGTCTTGGAAGCTTTTTGTAATAGTGATCACAATATCATTCATGCTTCATTAAAATTAAGCTGATGTGTATCTCCCTCGAAATATTCTAGAAATTATCGTCATTGTGATTCTGAAATCTTTAATCCTATCCTCGAAGAAATAAATTGGGATTTCTTATTCGGTTTAATTCCCTCTACTGATGAAAAAGTCAACTTTCTTAATAGCATCATTTTATACCTTATAGAACAATATATCCCCCTAAGAAAAAAAGCGTTAAAGCGATTCCCATTTTTTTTTTAAAATCTCTTTAAAAAAGTATCATGAAGCTCTATAATACAAATTAACCAAATTGCCAAGTGACCTCTCTGCATATAAGGAATGTTTAAAAAGTTTCTTTCCGTAGTGCCATTCATAATTATTTTAAATAAAGAAGAGCAACTTTTAAATATTAATAGAAATTCTTTCTGGACCTACGTCAAAAGAAATTTTGCAAATTCACGTAAACAATTCATTCTGTAAGATAATGATAATGTGAACACCTTCGATATTGATATTGCAAGTGTATTCAATATTTTTCTAGTGTGTTTGTTAACGATAATATTCACTACTGGATGTTTATAATTCCTTAAGCCGTCCATTTCAGCTGGTCCCGATAATATTCCACAAATAATATAAAAAATGTGCAGTTTTACTAAGTCTTCTCCTATTCTGCTGAGGTCCTCCCTTATTTTTAATTTAGAACAGATAGCCTATCTCCACTGCAGGAGGACCTCAGCAGAACAGCCAGCTGGCTATATGACAAATTAACTATTAACTATAACTATGACAAATTACACTTTCCTTTCAAAAGTGTAGCGTTCTTCATATCAATTCTAAAGGTTTCGATTTTCCTAATCTTATTATTAATGGAAACATAATCAGTACAGTCTCACACATTTCTGATCTTGGAATAATCATGGATGAAAATTTCGATTTCGATTTTCATTGCAGAACCATGGTAAAGAAATCCTCAAGGTACTATCCGATCATAGTTATTTCGAATTGTATTATATTATATTATTTTATAATTGTACTGTATTATATTACCTCTTTATTTCATTTTTAAATTATTAATTTTATTTCTGTCACTAATTTTTATTATTTGTTACTTTAACTGTTGTTATTAATACAAGCACATGGCGTTTGCGTCCTGCTTGGCTTTTTTTAATAAATAAAGAAACAAATTTCAAAATTTTAGAAAAGAAAATTCCAACTGAACTAAATGTACAATATTTTTTATAATATATGTTTTCGATCAAAATGTCACATTTTAAACTTATAAAAATGAAAAATGCGCAAAAATGATTGACTTTATGCAAATGTGCAAATGTTTCAAAAAAAAATAATATTTTCAGCATTTGGGAAAAATATCGAAAGGAAATGTTTAATAAACTGCCAAGAACTACTTTCAACAAAATGTTCCAGCAAATTCCTTAATTCATCATATTATTCAAAGAATTCTTTCGTTTTGGTGATAATTTCACAAAATTTTTTGATTGAAAATGAAGAAGTTAAGGCAATATTTGTAAAAAAAATCAACAAGAAAGGGTGGTACTGATTTTATTTTATTCTCGGATTAACTATAGATTCCATTTGCCTTATAAAAAAATTATTAGAAATACACAAGATAATAAATAAATTCGTAAAATTAATTCATATCTAAACACCATAACTGGCACATTATGCCCCCATTTTTCCCATATTTCTAAACCGTTCTAACCAAATTTAAAAAATTGCGATTATAAAAAGTTTGAAAAATTGAGGAAAATGATACTATCGAGCAAACAGAAGTAAGCGATATTCTTACATTGCAGTGGAATGGTACTTCATGTATAAATGTTGTGAGCGAGGTAAATTTTTTTGCGTGGATTCAATTTCTGCTCCAAAAAGAGATCGGAAATCAGTCGTGAACAATTTCATCCTTTTTAGTATCACATAAAACATAAACTATTTGCTTAGAATATATTCGTATAAATTCTATATATTCTGAATGTATTCTGCTTTATAGCTTAAAATTACTTCAAATTTTTCAAAATCCTTCTAATGCTTTCATGATAAATGCTTTAGAGATGTGAAAAACAAATCGATCGACAAGATTCACGAAGAGGAATAATAAAAAATAATAATAAAATAATATATTTTCAGAAAATTATTAATTTAAAATATATTTTTTTCTTGCAGGTTTACTTACGATTTATTACTAATTCAAAAGGTAAAATAGGAAAAGTTCAAGCAAGCTTTGTCTATGTGAACCTATCACGTTTCGATGATCAACGACAATACTATATTCATGTCAGTTTTGAGGATAATTCCACGTCAGCGATAGAGACTACTGGATATCGTATAGGTCAAATAATAGAAACATCGGCGGGAACATTAATTGTACCTAAAAATGGTGAATGTAACGTAGAAAATATAAAAACTATCAAATTTGGTTTTGATGTCATATCTGGCTGCATAATCAGGTCAGTTTTACTTCTATTTCGACAACCCATTTTAAAAAACTTAAATTTTTCTACTTAACGGGCAATGGTATGGCTGAAAATGGATGAATTACAATTTATTTAGCAGCTCGTAATTAACTGTTCTTTGGCAAATGCGTAACTTCCGCAAAGTCCCTGTTTTTTTGAGCGAACTGTAGAATTTCCAGCTTTTAGCTGTTAGGGTAATATTCCCATGTGGATGGTACAATTATGCAAGAGGTGGGTCAAGATTAGTTTGCAGATTAATCTTGAACAAACTCTCAAATCCCAAAACGTACTTTTGAGGATCTATTCATCTCAGGTTAATCAATATTGCTTTAAATGGTGAAAATAAATTTCAAATTCAATTACTTTAAAATCGAACTTGAATAAATGAAAAATGTCTCGCAATTTCTCATAAAACTATGTAGTTTTACAGTTATACAGTTTTTATGATATTAGATCATCGATATGTAATCAACTTCGCTCAGAAATTCGAAACATTTTCGAATATTTCGAATTCTCGAATTTTTTAACGATTCCACAAAATATTAATTCTACGAAAGTTGCTGCTGTTTTTCAAAATAAGAATTTGTTTCATGTAAGAATTTCAATTGAAAATGAATAAAGTTATTCAGAAATAAAATGAAATAAAATCTATATAATTATGGAAAATAACAGCTTTCAAAAGGTTGTCCCTAAATATTAGCCACAAATCGTTTTTGATTCTTTTCTTTCAATTCAATTAAAGAAACAGGGACAAAATGGCATAGCAATTGTATTGTCCGAAAAAGTTCGATCCGCTCTGATTGAATGGAAGCCAATAAATGACCGTATGGCCTATGTTCGCTTCAAAGGAAATATTGGAAATATTCTGCGATATTTTGATCAGCGTATATGCTCCAACTTTATGCGCAGACGATCACAATAAGGATAACTTCTGTGCGAAACTTCAACTATTAACAACATCGCTACCGAGAGATAACACCATAATCGGAGGAGACTGAAATGCATGCGTAGGTCATAATGCCGTTATGATTAATTTAACAATTAGTAAATATGGCATCGGGATCCAGTGTGCCAATGGAGAATGCTTTTTCGTTTTACTGAACAACATGAGCTCATTATTAGTAATACATGCTTTCGGCATCGGAGAAGATAGATAATCACGTGGAACTCTCCGGACAACCAATATTCCAATCAGATTGACTATATATTGGTCAGTCGTCGCTGGAAAAGTTCTGTGCTTTATAGTCGTTCTTATCGAGGGTGCTGAAACTGGTAACCATGTTATGGTTCGAGCCAAGATTCGCATAAAATTGAGAAGTCTTAAGAAACAACGTATCCCAATATTTTTCAACTATCTAAAATTAAAAGATGCGGGAAGATACGACAAGCGCATTTCAAACCGAATTATTGAAATACTTATAATTATTGAAATACAGTAATGTCAATGTCAATAACATCTCGGGAACCACGGATGAAAACCGCGGATACTGGTCCCAACTAAAAAAATGCTTATGAAAATGATTACGAAAATCAGCCACTTCGATGACAGGATATACTAGGAAAGCGCTAGCTGTTTGCAACTGCGAATCACCAAATAATATCTGTAATCCATAAGATTTAGGGCAATAAAAGTGCTAGAGAAGATAATCTTCGGTTCGAAACTTTCCTAATGGTGTCCATCATCCTTCATAACTTTACTCATCTTCGACAAATTCTCTGGTATAGCAAAGGAAATAATACCAGAAGACCGGAGCAAAACAACAAAACAATTCTACTTCCAATCTAAGAGAGGTGACAGGACGTTCAGCGAAAATTATCGAAGAATCAACCTACTGGAGATCTCCGGAAAAATTTTCACTTCCCTTCTGGTAAATAGATTGATGACAACACGAGATGCGGAATGCGTCCTAATCAAGCTGATGCGGTTGTGCTGACCCATAAAGGCATTTTGTCAACATGCCTTGGCGCAGCTTTACACATATGGGGAACTGACTGACGTTTTCGAAATAAAAAATGGTGTCGATTAAAGACGCCTCTTTATCTCTGAAGGAAATGCATATAACTGCTGGGATTGTCATTCGGATCATCTATTTTTAATTCCATCGATCATAGCATTTGGTCCTTTTTGACAAATTTTTTCGCAAATATATACTAATATACTAATTTTATGAAAATGCGAGTTGAAAAAAAAATTTGAAATTGCTGAAATCTCATTAACTGTCTTATTAGTCTTTTCATTACTTCATATTAGTATTTTACAGTTAGTTGATTACGATGAATGTGCTATTGTTACCACTGTTGCCATAATCATTGAATATGCCAGAACTGGTGATATATCGAATTATTCATATCGTCTAACTTCTGTGAATTATGTTTATGGAGAAGCAATATCGGTCGAACATCTCCGAAATTCGTCAATTCCTATCAAATTTTTTGTTAAATTTTTTGAAATGGCTACGAAACCATATCATATTTATAAACCTATACCAAAAATTGATTTTTCATTACCGTCGGATTTTTTTTATCCATTTTTATCATCCAAATCAATTGCAATTCGCATTATTCCTAAAATTTTCATTAATTTTTTTCTTTTATTCTTTATTTTTCATTATTGTTAATAGAAATAAATATATAGTAGTCCAGTCGCTTATTGCTTCGCTTAAGGGCGACTAGCAGGATTCTTATGTAAAGTGAGGAGTGAATTTGCGAGAAGAGAAATTTGGGTGCATCTATTCCCAAGTTAGCAAGAATTCCATCATAGTGGAGAACAACAAAGCGAAAAATATTGGTATAAAAAAATGAAAAACCTCAATGGAATCCTACAGGGAGTGCGAAGGAAAAAAGCTTTTGTTTTCATGAAAAACTCAAGATTAGATTACAAACGAAATGTGCCTTGTCCACGCTTCCGCCTTCGAAGATGTCTAGATAACAGAAAGGAAATTATAGTCAATAAAATAAAAAAGCACTAGATTTCAATGGCACAAAGTTTATTTTTCTAAAGTATTTTTGTTTTTATTTTGTTTCTATTACAAGTTTGAGAAACTCAAAAGAATGGAAGCAGGCCGGTATACAACCTTTGTATTCGCCTTTTGTATCAACTTGGCTGAGAATTCAGCAGTTACGAGGTTACAAGAATTATTTCATAATATCGGCATGTTTTTTGGAAAATTTAGCTTAACAAACATTTTGAGTTCTATATATAAAAATATATATAAAATATATAAATATAAATATATTTATTATCGAATAATTATCTTTTTCCTGCACATCGCGAGTAGTTTTAAAAATCACTGTCTATAATTCTGGAAATGCTTATAGTTAGAACTCTCTTTAGAAAATGAGATTGATAAGACCAGGGCAAAGTGGAGAAGTTAATCATCTGACGGAGCTATAGAAAAGTGAAGATTAAAAATAGGATGCGAACAGTGGAAAAAAAGGTACTCTATCAAAAGCCAGAGATTGCTAAAAACAAAACTAAGCCAAGAAGGTAAAGAACCATCTAACGTATTGCTACAACAATATGGTAACCACCTATTGAAGGAATAAATATGAGAAAAAGATTCATAAAAATTCATATCATAGAGATTCATAAGATCCAATGCAAAGTGGTGGCTGCATGACCTGAGGATATAGCAGTCTCCAAGAGAAGGGATGGAACCAATCAGTAATGTGGAACTTTTTGCAGCATCGTTCGAACATGATCCACATCTATTGGCTGAAGGAACTAGTAGTGGTTCATTAAAAAAATATCATAGCTACTTGCAACATCAAAAAGAGGAAGCAATAAAGATGTCGATCAAGATTCAAAATCTCGCATGTCGACATTATTCTGTGCATAGCTTAGAGGAAAACCCATGACTTAATAGCCCCATGTGATTCGTAACCCCATATGATGTGAATGTGAATGTCTGGCTCTATACAAAGTGAAAAGGATCGCAGGATCCTAAAAGAATTCAATGGGACTGTGGAAAATGACACCTAAATTCAACGCAAAACAGCTTGCATAAGTGATCAAGTACTGCATAAATCAAAGTGAAATGGATAAAGGAAGAAATGGAGGCCACTGATGTGAAACTCCTCACAACGGGAATTTTCTTCAAGACCGATACTCAAGGATACCGTACATTAGCAAGCAAAAAGGCGGATGAAGGTGAAAACCATTGTCTTGAGCGAAACCTGAAGCGTTCAGAAATATCATCAAAATGGCACTAAAGGATAGATTAGTGAGAGAATGTCTGAAGTGCACAATCAGCAGATAGCTGAGGTAGCTGGCGCTTAGAGATCCCACCAATATCTCGAGAAAGTCGGATTTAGTAGTCAGGAGCAAGCGTGAAGAAAGGCATAACCAAGTAACCGGCATCGTCTACAGAAATATCTCTCGGTATATGCTTTGGACCCTCCCAAAACTAAATGATTATTCAGAAAATCTTAAAGAATAATAAGGTCATACGGGACTTCTCCATCAAGTCCAACAAATGGGTACCTACCAGTCAACCAGATATCATAGTGGTAAATAAGAATCAGAAACTACGTAGCAGCATAGCAAAACCAAGCGATAGGAATTATTATTAGCTGTTTAAATTTATAAATAATGTAATGTTTAGTACGTGATAATAGATCACGGTACATATATGTAAATATAGCGCTATATTTTTCAGAACTTCTTTTAGTGAGCGTGCTTTACCTTAATTCGTTGTAACCTGAGGAGTACTGGTTTATTTGTTGTAACTGATTGCAATATTTCCATTATTTTTATCATAAAATATGTTCTATTTGCAGTTCAATTGATTATAAAATGTTAACTATTAATGATTTATTTTTTCTTTTGCTTTCCATTTTTTAAAAATTTTTCATCCTTAATTTTTTTATCGCATTGCCTTTGATGGGAGGAAACTTGCTACCGAGTGACAGCTAGGGATCCACCTGAAACTCTACCTCTATGGCCAGTTACTCTATGGTGAAAGGGTCGGGTCTTTTTTGATGTGAATATTAGCGACATTTTTGGAACGGCAGATGAATACTAATCCTAACTAAAGGAATATCTCTGAAAGTTAGTTACTTCCATACTAGGACGTGCTAGTACGAAATGCGCTAGTGAGGCATTGAAAGTAGCTCCCCAAATGTCCTAAAGTCTTCGATGCAGAGCACTTTAGAAGATTAGGAGATATCTGAAGATCCTGGTTATCGGATGTTTCGAAGAAATACAATGATAGTAGGATGGCTGGACAGAAATCGGAGCGATATGACTCTACAAATGGAGTCGACTGCTCATTTAAGCGATAATTAAAGAGTTATTCCGCCTTCATAAAGCTAATAGTGCCTATTAAGGCTATTAAAAATTGCTTCGCTGTGAGATGAAAGTAGAGGATATAGAGATGGCAATTTTTGCTTGTAATCGGCGATTTGTAATCCACATGAAATTTTTGTAAAGTATTTTTTTTGACCTCCCTGTGGCTGTTCCTTGGTGAGTGTTCTAAAAAAACTGGTATATTAAATATCGTTAATAGACAAATTTTAATCACCGATGGTAATTCTTTATACACACGATGTTTGGGAACCATTTTCATTTTTCGGAACTTCTGTAAAATTTTTCCTAGCATAATCATAGCAAATAGGATATATTATTAGGTTTCAATGGGTTGAAGAAATTAAGTAAAAACGCACGCATGTTGTGAGGTGGTTGAAAAATTAGTTCTTTCATAATATTACAGTTGAAAGTTGTCGAAAATCTAGATCAGAGATCTTTATGAATTTCCAATATTTATGGAATTCTTTGAATTTAAGCTTAATTGTGACGGGTCATCCAAAATTCCAGACATAACAGGATATTCTGAGCCGTAAGGTTGCAATTGCGAAGCAGCAACTGAACACGTATAATTTCTTAAATAATCTCTAATCTAGTAAAACCCCCAAAAAAGGCTCTATAAGCGAAATATGTGCAATTGCTGCCCAGAGTTCTTCATATCTGCAAAATATACCTGAAATATACTTTCTATCTGGCATGGGAGAACGATTGCCATGTGACTTGGAAAAGGCAGTTCCACTTCCAATTTTTCAGAAAAGTATTAGAGCTATCGAGCTAGATGTTCTTGGGGAATTTTTATCTCTCTTCCGCTTAATAGACTGATAGTAGTGGGTAACAGCAGGACGCCACCTAGCTAGATTTAAGTCAGAAAACGGAAGTGCCGTCCAAATTTTGAAAAGTGTTCGAATATCATTTCAAGTATCGATAACCTATCTTTATGTGTCTCATCGATTTTGCTGCCCTTGATTCCAATTGACAGAGCGACACTCTGGCAAGATATGCAATATAGTGATGTTCCAAAGAAATTTTAGTTTAGTCATATCAAAGCATTTTATCAGCATACGTCAAAATGTCAAGAATGATCCGATTACTTATTACCTTTTATTCTCTGTCTTAACGCATTCGAGTTCATTGACAATGCAATGTTAGGATAGAGAAATTTATGAAATGCATACACGAAGGCTGATTCGGTAGCGAATGGATTACATTAGAAAAATTCATATATAATGGATCGAAGAAAGAAAGGAATATCTTGACACAAGAAAACTATACTAATATGTGGTGAAATTTACATAACTTCTTTAGATATTCTTCATTTTTATATTTATCTTGCTACTTTTTGACAGCATTGTGACAGCTTTCTGCTTTGTTTGCATCAGTGTCGAAGCAATTGAATTGATTCGCGAAGTCTATTACAATTTATTTTTTATGCTTTCAAAATTTAAACGCTGTATTTCTCTAATTGTAGCACTCAACTATAATAATTATCAATAATCAGTTTACTGTTGAAATTTTAGGTCCAATTAAAAGGTTTTAAAATCACTATATCTTGGAAGCTTCAGACCTCGTATCTGTTAAAGTAAATTTAAAAAATTTTGAAGGAAATCATTTTTCGAGGGAGAAAAAATGCAATTTCGCATAATGCTAGAAATTTTTAAGATCAATTCATAAAATTATTGCGAGTTATCCGAATAAATTTTTAGCAGAACAATTTTCTGTTATTAGAAAATAAAAAATTATATATGTAGTAGCCGTGAAAATTTCCAAAGATGAAAGTATTCCAGTTAAACTAGCATTTTATGACAGGAATTATAGAAATCGGGAAGGATATGGAATAAAATAAATTTTTGTTTAGGTCAGAAAAGGTCGATTCGCACGGTTTTTTGACGCGGTAGTGTAGTATTTCCCAGATGCATCGCTCACTTATGAAAATATGAAACAACTAGAATGAGTTATTATGAGTGCATATAGTGTTGTAACTGAGACTGATAAGCCAGCAATTATTTTGAAAAAAATAATATTGGCTATAATGCATGGTAATCAGTGAACTGAGAAAAATGGATAATGGGTGTTTTTTCGTAAGAAAACCGCTCAAATTAAACTGATTGTTGCATGAGCACAGATTGGTCCTCACTTACTGAATGGTTGCCACGGTTTCTTTCGTCTTTTACAATAAGCAAAAAATAAGACAATGTGAAAGCCTCAATCACTGTAGAATACCGATCAAATTAAATTCCCTCGGGTTGATTTTTTAGTATTCGATCGTAATGATGATAAATTAGTCAAAGATTTTCTCGACGTTACTGATTTTTCTGACGTATTGTTCCGTTTTGTCGCTAATGTGTAACTATTCATTCGTGCTGCACTGCTCAGTGACATTGTCCTGCAAAATTATATTAATTAAAAATATGAATTGGAAACAACTTACCAAATTAACTTCATTTGACTTTAATTTGTATTTTTCGCTTTCGACATTTCTTTCATACTAATTAGGATAACTTCGCTGGCTAATATGATATACATAGACAACTGTCATGTAGAAACAATTATCATCACGTTTAGACAGAGGCACAGTTGGGAGAACCAGTTCATCCCTCGATCGAAGCACTGCTCAGTGGAGGCCAGCAGGTAAAAGAGGGTAAGGAAAAAGCCAGTCTGGTACGGATGTTTGATAATGTATAAATGATGTTCGATAATTACATATCTTCGATGCTTTTATTCAAATGAATATTTACATCGTTATCAGCACAATAGCAATCGCTCGATAGCTCGAAGCCTGAATCCGAGCCAGTTCGCACCTAAACCACCATCACTTTAAAACCACCATCACTTTTGCCTATTTTACATTATCTAATGCGCAAACTGTGCAAAATTTTTAGTTTTACTGGAATATTTCTTACAAAAATGAAATTGTTCAAATTTATTTTCTAATTTCTTAATCTTAATTTTGTGTGATTTGTGGTTTAAAATGATTTAATATATGATTTAATATAATTTTTTTTAGTCTTTCGTTTTTCTTCAAAGTTTACATCCATATTTTTATTATTTTATTTTAATTTTATTATATTGTCAATGTTATGCAATCAAGGAAAATCTATTTCGAATTTTTATTTTTTGCTTCGAAATTAAATAAGACCCATATCTATGGGGAAATGACGTAATCTCTTCGGTCTCTCAGCATGAGCAACGTTCGATTTGACAATTTTACTTTTAAATCTCCGGTTAGAACCCAATTTATTAGCTCAAAGTTTATATGAATAAAGCTGACAAAATTTGTATAGTGGAAAATAAGACGATTTAACGAAAAGGAAAATGACGGAGAAAATCGACCTGTGCCTTTGTTTTTGTACCACTCCTTTCGCCTTGAGAAGTTCACTGCTTTGATTACTGGCTTCTTTCAATCTAAACCTGCTTTAAATTCAAAGAGCAACAGAAAAAATGCAAACAAAAATTTGATAAATTTCACGCATAATTTTGCACAAATTTTTATAATTTGTTTTTTTCATGGCACTCGCTATACCCGGTTTATTGTAACATCTGGGATGAGGCGGAAGTTAAAAATTCATAAATGAAATATTTATCAATGTTTAAGTTTTCTAAATCTTAAGGTCAATATGCGCTAATATGTATTAAAATTGAGTTTAAAATTTGGCAAAATTGATATTTGAAAAATCTGATTTCGAAAATGTCAATGTCAGAATCAGCTTCAGATCTTAAGTTATTTTAGCTCCAAGTCAAAAGATATCTACTGAGGAAGGTGAGATTCATAAAACTTTCTACTATAGAATGGGCCAAATCAAGAAGGAATATGCCACTTGACTTTGTATTTTACTTTACTTTGCGAGTCTCAAACTTATCACATATATGACATATGATAATCTGAAAATTTTTCAAAAAATTTAATGACTTTTCTCTTTCTAAGTTTTATTTATTAATTTAATAATTTTTCTATTAACCTTTACTAAATTTATTAGAAAAAATGAATGGCAAATCAGCGAAAATTCTCGCGGTCGATCATTTCCCATAATTATTTAGAATTTTCTTCAAAGATTTGGCTAAAATTTTGACGACAAAATTTTAATTTAAAAAAACTAGTCGATTTCATAGATTTGAGTTTGAGTCGAAATCTTTGTCAAAATCTTTTAAGAGTTTAGAAGTTCTATGAAATAAACGATTATTTTTATCTTGGAAAGCACTTGTTTGGCAAAAAATTTGCAAAAACGCTGAAAAATTTGGAACTTGGAATAAATTATTCCAATTCGATCAAAATTAATGAAGCAATTTAAAAAAAAATAAATTAGTTGTTGAGAAATAAAAAATGGTTAATAATTAATTAAAACAACTTCTTTTTCTAAGAGCGCTCACCATTTCTGGTTCGGCCTCTAATTTGGTCGGGCTAGACAAATTTTGCCAAGAATTCACTTGGCGATAGAAATACATATAAGCCAAACCAGCATCTGGACTTTTAAAAACAGATTTATTCTGCCGATGCTAGGCTGCTAGCACCTGAATTCCGAAAGGTAGAAAAGCATTGTGTATGGTTTAATATTTCTTAAATTGAAATACAAATCGTGTCCATTCAAAAGTTGACATTGAACAGAAATTTATTACTGCGATGATTTTGGCAGAGTCGCGATAAAATTGATTCTTTTTTTTCAAGATTTTCTTCAAAATTTTCTTCACTCATAAATTCATTGAAGAATCTACCCTATATATTCGTTTTTTAGATCAGCTTTTGATTCATTTCGTTCTTGTCGAAATGCTTTTGACTTAATCGAGTTTTGCGCCTCATCAACTATCATTCTTTGCTGGGTTGCAGCATCCGATTCTGTGGCCTTAAATGAGGAAATTCACGTTGTTCATAAACCTAAACGAGAATGCTTAAAACAATTCATCGATTAATTAAAAATATGGCCAAACTCTGCTAAATTAATCATTAGCTATGCTACAAACAAACGTGAAAACATCAAATGATTAGCTTAAAGAACGATATGCAAAAAATATTGATGAACCAACTAAATGGTGATCATTTAGCCACTGCAAGTATTCATCGATATCGCCACATTTTGGTTTCATTATGCATTTTAGCATCGCTATTTTCATTTCTTCCGCTTCACTGCTTATTCGTTGCTTTTCTGTTTTATTTGGCCAATGATTTTCCGAAATCTAAACAAATTAATAACATTATTTAGCAAATAAAGTCAGAATCGCTCTGCTGGCTTGTCGGACAAATATGCTAAGGAATCCCTTTGCGATAGAAATAGAGGTGAGTCGCCAACACCCCATAATACAATAATAAATGGAAAATTAAATTAAATATTATCATATCGTATAATTTTTATGTACAACGCAAACGAACCTAATCCCATTTGTTTAGAAATCTATGAAATAATTCAACAAGAATGAAAAAAACCTTTTGAGAAAACCCGCTTAAGCCAGATTGACTTCTAGTGCTGTTAGCTGAAAATTTGTTCTAGTTGATACAATAAAAATTAAACAAATAATACAAATAAAGTAATTTAAAACGATTGAAAATTTTGGCAAATGCAACTAAAGTATATTAAAATGAACCATCGAAACTTCGCCGTTGATGGAATTTATCGTTTGCATTATTATCGCTCAAAAGCTTCAATTCAATGCCACGAAATTCCGACAAATCAACGTTTTCGCCTAAAAATCTTTCAATCCTTTCAATAAAACTGATTTGGAATTTTTAATTAAAAATCGACAAATCCTTGCAAATTTGAAAATCAAAACTTAATTAAGATAATTAAGTAACTCGTAGAAATTTTGTGAAATTTTGTCTTTTAATATGTTAAGTTTAAAAAATCCATTCTAAAAATATTTAATGCAAAAAATGATTGAGAAATTCTGAAAGTTATAAATTCAATAACTCTTAATTCATCAAAAATTAGAAGTCATTAAATTAAAATTAAATTCAGATTCAGATCCATTTTTTTAAGTTTTTTAACTAACTGGTCTTATGCAATATTATTTACATATTATTTAACTGATAAGCCTCGAAAAAGGTGTGAAATATCCAAAAATTCTCAAGAAATTTACCATCAGGAAATTGTATCTGCGAAAAGCCGCTCAAATATAAAGTGTAATAAATATTGTGCAGGTGATCAATGTGATTTCGAAGGAGATTTTGCAAATGCTGCAATGAGTATTACATAAAGGAAAAAAATTTTTATTTGAAAGCCTTAAGAAAAGTAATCATTTTCTCAAATAAGCTGGAAATAAGAATTTAAAAAAAAGAGGGAAAAAATTGTCCAATCTTACTGAACCGATTTTTCTCGAAATTTTTTCATAAAAGGGATTTCGAGATTTATTTAACTTTTTCATTTTTGCGGAATAATTTCAAAATTACAGATAAATTATTCATTAAAATTCATTATTTCATTCAAATTCATTCAAATTCATTTAAATGCTTTTCCATGAAATTTTGTTTTTCATATTTTATGAAAAGAAAAATATCACAAATGATTTAATTAAAAGCAAAAAGTTTCGATTTTTCACTTTTATTTAAACCTTTTATTTAAATGCATTCGGCTAGTTATGCTTTCTTATTTAAAAGTATTTATTATTTGAATTTTCACTATTCAAAACCCGCTATCATTTAAAAATTTGAAAAATTCATTTAAAAAAATTTGCGTCATATTATTTTAAAAAAAGTATTAAAAATCTGACTATTTCTTTGAAAATAAATATAAATATTAAATATAAATAAATATTAAATATATTAAATATTGATATTAAATTGTTAAATGACCGAAATTGAATTCAATACATTTCGAATACATGGTTAGGCCTGCTCCGCTGGCTTGTCGGACTAGGCAAATATGCCAGGGAGATAGAAATAGGGGTAAGTCGCCAGCATCATCTGGAGTGCATATCGCCCTACAACACGTTTTAGCCAAGATATTGTATTTAATGTAAAATCTGCTGAATTATTCCGATAGAAATTATTACCTGAAATCGAATTCGAAAACTTTCATTCTCTCTTAACAATGACGAATTGCTCATTGATAACTGGCACATTAGTTTTTGATAATGTGTGTGGATATCATTTGTTTCAAAGTTCCCATACTTGAAATCATTTAATTTTTTTGATCAACACTTATATTTATACAATTACAAATGGATGACAATTTGTCATCCATTTCTTTTGGTTTTTTTGCGAAACACCAATAAGAAAAGATAATCTCGAAAAAAAACTTACACTGCTGGAACCTATTTCATACATTGAAACACTGCGATGTGTCTCTTTAATTGGGTTCTTTAGTATGTCAATAATATAGTTTTTGATGCTGTTGTAAGTCCACTGAAAACATATAGAATCGTTGTCGTTTAATCGTCTTATTTCATTAATCTTAAACCTAGAGAATTTTCCAGGAGGCTATTTAAACAAAAGTGCCATTTTCCGCAGCATAATACAAGATTATAAAAAATTTCACTTTTTTAAAATTTTTTAAAGAACAATTTACAAAATTAGCGAGAAAATGTTTCAACTTTCTTTTTTAATAAAATTAAGAATTTTACATTATTATAAAATTATTGAATAAAAGAACAATTATGCTTCTTGAGATTCGATATATTGAGAATAATATCCCAAAAAATATATTTTAAAAAATTTGTAGGGATAATAGTTTTCCATAAATGCCACTTTACTATCTTATTAAAGTCTATCTTATTAAAGAAGGCTATCCTAAAATCTGAGGCGATTTGCTGCAATTCAAAATCTACCAAGGGCCTGGAAAGAATTGAGGAAATTAACGAAATGGTCTAAAAATTCCAGTATATCATAAAAATTATTAGGCCAAATCAGTTCCGATTAATTCGCATAGTTGTTTCGAAGAAATTCTCTTATCACTCAATTGTTTGCAACAGAAATCATAAAACCTTAAGAAACAATTACCTAATAATTTTATAAGTAAATATATAAAATATAAAATATATAGAATTAAAACTATATCATCAATATCCAGTATAACAAAAGTAAGGACCATTTATGATGCTGTCAGAACATTTTGGACGTATAGAAGGCAAGTGATGTAGAAACTTAAAAGAAAGCGGTGGTAAAAAAGCGATAGTTATGTTCAGGAATGGTATCAGACTAAAAATCTTGGAAATGCCTATTCATCCGTAGAGCGAACCAAACTAATAATAGTAAACTAATAATAGCAGTTAGAAAAGGAAGAAATAGAAAAAATAATTGGCATAAAGAAAAGTCTAAATGTAAAATCACTTGCTTCTTGATTCACGGAAGTTGGTTGAGTTTGATAAGCGCTTTTTTCAAGAGAATCCGAATAGCAATGAGGTAACGATTCATAAAATTCTGTAGTGGTTCTATTTTCAGGCGAATTCGAAAAGAAACTGGTACCGCAAAATACTGAAATAGATACTGAAATACTGAAATAGATTATGCATCCGAATTATTTGCCGTGTCCAACTAATTTTTAGAAAATTATTTCTTTCAATTGGAAATTCTCTATTGTTTACTTTATCATTTTAAAACCATTTCGAACCATTTTTCGTTTTCATACTTTGCCGAAAACTTGGTGTAAATTTTATTAAATCCACCATTTAATTTTCAGCTCAGCGCCCACAGTTCTTACTTGCCCTATTGGTGACATATCATCATATAAGGCAGGATATTCACTGATTAATTAGTCTAAAATAATTTTATGAATTTAATTTACACGACTTTTAGTAGCGAATAGTGAATATCAAATTTTCGCCAAAAATTTTTGGAAAGTGACATGTTTTTTATTTGTCAGAAGTAAATATAATGAGACTCAAAATGATTCACAATTTTTTGAATTAATTACATCATATTTCGATAAATTTATTGAATATTGCCATTTTTGGAAAGGTAATTTCACATTAATTTCACATTACAGAGTAAAACTTTATGATGTAATGATAAGATATGAAAAAGTAATGAAAAAGGAAATGTTTTCCAACAATTGCTAACCGCAAACAATGAAAACAAGCTTTATTTTATATAAAATAATGTTTTATTGTCAAAAGCTATGAAAGCTGCAAAAATCTTGCTTGCTATAATTTTTGGCAACTAGTAATTATGAAATAGAAAATATGAAAATGACGACAAAAAATTGAATTATAAATTGTCATTCGGGAATTTTGTTTCTAGTTAGAAAAATCAGGAGATTCCAGGAACCTTAGAGATTTCTATCCAAAGAAGCATTCAAAGAAGCACATTGCCAGGAACAGCTAAGATACTTCACAGATCCCTCAATCTTTCAGGCCTTGGTCGAAGACTTGAGGATGGTCCTTACCTCCCAAGAGGTATGAGAAAAAATGATACAAAGAATTTTTATACAAAGAATTTTTTATGCAAAGAATTTTTTATATATTTTCATTTAATATATATAATTTATACCTGTTATTGTGAGATCATGACCATTAAAAGGGGTGGCTACTAGAGCAGACCTTACGTGGACGAGACAAAATAATCTGGAATTGATGTAGTATTACTATAATAATAGATCTAATCAGAGGAGTTATATGATATGTATGAAGGCACTGTGGATGGAAAAAAGACCTAAGTCAACACTAAATGAAAAACAATTGGTGGCTTCTACATAAGAAAGAGAAAACTGCTTTCTCAGTTGATGGATCAATTCCGCGCTATACGCCAGACCAAAACTATTTAGCAAGAAGAGGAGAGAAGACGTAGCTAGGAAGCTGGAAATTATCTTCCAATATCTTCGCTGCAAAGCATAGCAGTTGAGATGAGTAGAAAATTGAAGAAATAAAATTGCTGTAATTAACCGTTGAGATCGGCTATTGAGGCCTCAAATAATACAATCGAAAGATGCAAATAGAGCTCGCGTAACAATTTTTATTGCCACTAGAACAGAAGATACTGAACTGGTGTATGTCTTCCATGATCTTCGCTGCCACTGTAATTCTCGAAATGCTGAATAAATAATCAAGAGGAATAACAATGCAATTCCTATGGAAAATGAAGCTGGAAAAGAACATAAGGAGAAGAACATAAAGAGAACGCAAAAAAAATAGCCAAAAAGGTATGAAGAATGAAAATAATATCCGGATGGTGGAAAATCTTATCAGAAGCCTCCAAGAAGCCACTGTAATTCTCGAAAAGTTAAATGAAAGTTCAAATCTTAGCAAGCAACGAAATATGCGTCAAATCTTATGGTGGAAGACGTAGAACATGCTCTAAAAATCAGGAGATTCCAGGAACCTTAGAGATTTCTATCCAAAGAAGCATTCAAAGAAGCACATTGCCAGGAACAGCTAAGATACTTCACAGATCCCTCAATCTTTCAGGCCTTGGTCGAAGACTTGAGGATGGACGATCATGTGATACTTTATCCGTTTGATAGACCCCGTAAAATGTACCTTAGTCAAGAGTGGTAGATAACTTCTTAATATCCTCCACTCTCCTTGGCCATGTCTCAGAGCCAAATAGCAAGATCGAACGAATCACAGCTTCATAGTTGTGTTTTAATGGTAATTTCAAGACGGCTCCATGAAAGTTTCGTAAACTGGAAGAACGCATTCCTGACTGCCGCTATCCGGGCCATGATCCATATCTACTGGTTAAAGAAGCTAATATCGGTTCATGAGCGTCTAACAACCAGCTGCTTGTGGCAGACTTTCATTCAGACTAACATAAAGAAGAACGAAAATAATGAAAGATAAAGGAACAACATCGTCCATCTACCAGTCAATAGCCTGTCTACCACAATGTGGAAAGTCCTGTCAGATATCATAGCCATCAAGCTTCATGACCATATGAGCCAGTATATAAGTACAGTTCAAGACGGCATTTGGCAACACCAGAGGCTCCAAACACCAATTGCTCGCTCTAGATTCAAAATCCAGATAGATCAACCTATGAATAGCTTGGATTGACTATAGGAAAGCTTATGATCCGCTCCACACCTAATATCTGTGAATGTTAAACTCTACACAAAGTTAACAGGACCTTAAAGATAAGAACTTCACGGGACTGTGGAAAACGATACCTGAAATTAACTTAAAACAACTGTATAAGTGGTTATCAAGTGCGACATATATCAAGGAGACGCATTTTCTCTTCTATTGTTCTGCATAGGTCTAAATCCCCTCAGTCAGGCAATCATTAGAAGCGGATATGAACACAAATTCAAGAACGAGACTACCATCAGCCATCTTTCCTATATGGATGATCAAATTATATGCAAAAGGTGAATGAGACAATGACTCGTTCATCCATCTAATTCGGATCTATAGCGAGGACACTGGGATGCCCTTCAGATTAGAGAAATATATTCGAATGGTAGTAAAGAAAGGAGAAATATATCAACAAGATGGCATCATAGGATGAATTGCTGAGAAATGTTTGAAGCTTGTCTTAAGACGGAAAATGATCAAGCAGAAGAAATACCATGGTAAAGCAAGGCCCTCCATGGATTGCAATATCGACAAATAGCTGAGGTAGCTAAAAGTACACTGTAAAATTCTACCAATTGAAGGTTAAAGAAAGCCAGACTAAAATACAAGAATGATGCATTAATTATAGCAGCACAAGAGCAAACATAAAGCACCAGATCCATCGAAACAAGGATCTACCTACTACACTGACAGGACTCTTGGTGCAAATTGTGTAAAAACCTAGAAATATTAGAGATGTGGAAAGTGAAGGCCAAAATAATTCCAGTGATAATTGGAGCTGCAATCTCTAGAAAAGTGGTTTCAGCAGATTTCACAAGCAGCATCAGAGGTCTCTATCCAGAGCGCACTCTTAGAAACAGATAAAACATTGCATAAAACTCTCAATCTCCCAATCCTCTGGCAGTGATGGGAGGTTGAGGATGATCATGATCATTTATAGAGAGGTGTGAAAAAGTTTTTTTTTTATTTAAATAAAAGTCACACCATTTTTAATGGTTATTTTATATAGTTGATTGCATTCTTCTAAGGAGGAAAGAAAAATTTAAAATTTAAATTTCAAAATTTCAAAACCTGAAAATATTGTATTGACGCTTTATGGAGGCTTTATTGATGGCATTGGAAGTCTGTGGAAAAAGAAGTTTTACAAAATTCATAGTTTAGATAAATAAAAAAAGCCAAAATTATCAAGAAAAAAAATCTTCAATAAAAACTCGATAAATATTTGCTTCGTATTTTCTCAAAATACTAGGTGAAACACGTTAAAATAGGCTATTAGTACTATTTCAGACAATTTTTTTAGGCTTGATTGCACATATTTTAGGCTGAGATAAAACTATTAGAGAGTAGTCTATCGAAAAATTTTTATTCATTCACGCAACTTCAAGTTTACATTCATAAAAAACATAGTGTGGGGCAGGAACGTACTTATCTACGTCATACTTAATGATTGAAGAATTTTCGTAGCGCAATAAAAGAAAATTCTATTCACCAAATCTGTCACTAAAAATATGTCACTTTAAATGAATTTGAAAAATTGAATATATGTCGAAGTTGATCTATCAATGCATATATCGCTCTGTTTTTAAAATCGTTAAATATTTATGAAAAATTTTATTTAATACTATTACATAAAATGCCATCAATGGATACAAATAAATAGTTAGTGCGGAATAGAATCGCTGTCATTTCAGTGCGCCAAATTCAGGGAATCTCAGCAGAAGTAAAAATGTCCTTCAAAGACCCGGATGATCCTGGCCATTTATATTTTTATTGCCAAATGATCCAACCGAGAATTTATCTGGCTGGACAAGCCAGTGCAGCGATTCAACCAAAAACGGTGAGCGTTTTTAAAAGAAAAAAAAAACTTATGAGAAGGAAATATTTTCTTAAAATTATTCATCCTTCACCATTTTCTTTAAAACGTACAAAAGTTATAATGAAGCAGATCAAGTAAGCATGGACAAATTTCTGGGTTTTTGACATTATATTCATATTCAGCTTTATTTTTTCGTAAAATTATTCTATTCAATCGAAATATCAATTAAATATGCATTGATTACATTAAAAAACATTAATATATAATTATATTATTAAAGTATTAAAAAAAGTATTGGATGTATAAATTCTCGGAAATGATAAAATAAAAATAGCAAATGTAATAAAAAATGGAATAATATGCAAAAAATAAGAAAATAACAATATAGCAATTTTTAGATTAAGATAATTTTAAAAAAAAATTTTCGCCAGCCGATTTTATATTTATTTATTTATTTATTTATTTATTTATTTATTAATATTTATTTTATTTATTTTTAAATATTTTATATTAACTGATCAACAAGTTTATTAAAATAACGATAAAGAATACTTCCATTAATAAACACTATCACAGAACGCCGTCTTAGCTGTATGTTCTTCATCACCCACCACAGGAGTTGGTACATATTTCTTTCTAAACTCTTTGACGGATGGCATCAAAAGCGAGTTGTGCCAATCAAGACCTGTACTGGTAAAGGAAAGATTTTAAATTAGAAATGAACCAAATATATGGGCCTTAGACGATGGAAAAAAAGAATGGCTCATATTACTGCTTGGAGACGTGCTAGCTTTATAGCCAACGGCAACAGCCTAACCAGTAATATTGAGAGCTATTAGAAGAAGAAGATAAGTGATTAGAGATCTTAAATCTTAGTGTCTTATATCAATTTTCATTCCTCATTTGATATTTATGGTCTTACCTTCAAAATTCGGTATCAAAGGATATAAAAAGAAAAGATAAGAATTTGTATAATAAATTTGTCATAAATTGTTATGCATTTAGATTTTAAAGGTGAATTCAGTGATAAATTCATCACTAAATGAACTATATTCGTCAGAAAAGAAGGGTCCAAAAAAAGTCGACAACTTCATGAACGATCATTAGAATCAAAAATTAAAAATCTGACAAATTTTGCCAGAGAGTCTTTTGGCGATAGAAGTACGGGTGGATCGTTGTCACCAATAGAATTTTTGAAAGACAGGTTTTATTCCTGCTGGAGACTAGAAGCCTAGCACCGAAATGAGAACGACTATTCATTCAACTAAGCAATAAGTAAGAAATATCAAAATTGAAATATTTATGTCTTAATTAAAAATGCTGACAAAATAATACTGGCATTAAGTAAGCGATAATCAAGATCGATACCCAAAACCTAATACTCGAACAAATAAGTTTTATAGCGTTAAGCTATTAATAATTTTCCGCATGCGCACGGTCCACACTGGCTTCAAAATTCTAATAATACGGTCAGCATCGAATTGAGAAATGATTGCTTCCATCGAAATAGAGTATTGAAAAAAAATAAGATTAAATATCCCACTAGTTTTACAGTGTGTTCTTTTAATTTTGTAATAAAAAATATAATTTTATTCTTGTGCGCCCAAGACAATTCGTCTCATTATGGCCCAGAAAAGCCAAAAAGTTAAATATGCAATAAAAGAATGAATTATAAATAGGAATCAAATTAATAACAACCTAATGGCGGAAAATTTTGCTGATAATTAATGAAAGATATTATCTTAGAAGATAATTGAATGGTTTGATATACGAATATTTAATTATTTAAGAATTAAAGATAATGATTAACGCTATCGCTATGGGACATTAAATAATTATATTGATTTTTAACTTAATACCTCTTTCTTTCTTAAAAGCATTCACCATTTTAGATGGCTCCACTTGTCATTAGAAATATTTTCGCGTAGTCACCAAAAGATGAGCCTCTGGGTTCAAGCAGATTTCACGACAAGTTTGTTTTTGTTTTCATTTATTTAAACGAATTCGAATGCAGAAAAGAAAAGTGGTGAAGGGCACTCACCATTTCTGGTTAGGCTGGCTTCGTTAGCTCAGCCGACCCGACCACACAAATGTTACCAGAAATTCACTTGGCAATAGAAGTGCAGGTGGGTCGCTAGCAGTATCCGAATTTTTGGTGCATAGATTTTCTTCTAGAGAAAGAAAGACTTCAACATTGGCATTCCGAGAGGAGAACAACAACCTATTGAGCAATTTTTAAAAATTATTATTTATTTCTATAAAAATTTAAAATTCTTTTGTGATTTCTTTTCCAAAAATATTAATAAATAAAAAAGTCAATACTCGAACTACAATTGCAAAGTTTTTTTGCTTTATCAATTTTCAAAAACAAATAAAAAATCCTTCATTTTTCTATTCAAACCGAAAATACTATACAGTTGCAAATGTAATTGAACAAAGCAGAATTTGAACAGAAAATAATTCAAATATTCATCGATTCTTCGTCTTCTTCTGCCCATTCAGTGGTGCTCCCTCCTTGTTGATTTTGTGGCTCTTTCACCGACATTTTTAACTTCGGTGATTCAAGTGCGGACTATTTTTTAATGGTAGTTTTTCTCAAGTGACTATGAATCAATGGTGCTCAACGCT